ATTTGCAGCAAGAGGCAGAGAAGGCGAGAGGATCCGTCATCTCCCGGTAATTATGTGCTGGAGGGAGAGCATCACTCCAAGGAAAGCAATGCATGTTGCTGGTCCCAAGCCAGCTTGGGCTACTTCGCCCCAGGAACGCTTCCAAAACCTGCCAGCTTTCAGGGAAGTGCTTAGGTGAGGAGCTGAGCCCTTCCCAAGAAGCACACTGGTGGGAACAGGGATGCTGTGTGTGCCTGGCCCAACGGTCGCTGAAACCAGCTGGGGGCTTCCCCCGGGGTGAGAGGCCACTGAGGAACTTGCTGCCTGCTCCCATTGGGGCTTGGAGGGGAGGAACCCCCCCCCAACGCCTTGTTGAACACCAGACACCACGCAAGGGGTGCTGTGCATTTTGACAGCTCTCCAAAATCAGAGCAAAGCACCTTTTTAAGCATGAATACTGCAAAACATCCCAGCCACGTGCTGGGGGAGGAGCCTGGGTGCACATGCAACGTGATGTGCAAAGGCTGTGTGCCCAAAATGAGGGGGAAAAGGTCACAAAACAAAGGGGAAGAGCTCAACTCTTGCATATAACGCTCTGATGTGTTAGCAGGAGTTCTGTGTGTGCTTTGAGGAGAGGACACATCCCCCCGGCTACAGAAACCAAGCCAGGAGGTCACCACCTGCCCCCAGATGCCTCTCGTTGCCTCCCGGTGAGCTCAAGGCTAGTGGGCTGCTAGCAAAAGGCAAGCGATACCTGTCCTGAAATACTGTCAGGTATTTTAACACACAAATAGGTTTAACTACTGCACAGTTACCGAAAAACATACTCTAAAAAAAACCCCAATTCAAGCACCATTGTCCTAGGAAGGACCCGTGGTGTCTCAAAACACAAATACTGAACATTCACACAGCACTTCAGAGAGCATCTCCTGACTCCTCACAACACCCCCGCGATGTAGCTAGCGGGGTTATCCCTGCTTTCCAGAGGGTGAGAGGGCCAAGGCTGGATACCGGGCAGAAGATGGGGTGTCTGACAGAGCACACCCTGAGGCTGCTGGGGTCTGGCTGCCTACATCCAAACAAAGAGGGGGTGCTCCCTTGGATGCTCTCCCCGCAACTAACACAAACCACCATGTGCACACAAGGAAAAAACAACCCTGACAAAGGAATTTAGTGGAAGTTTTCTGCTGGGCTTCCAGGTAGGCTTCAGCCAGGTTATGTTACTGAAGCAGCCTGTGAGATAAAACACTTTCCAAGGTCTCCTTAGAACTTAAAGGAGCTTGTTCCCAGGGTGTCCACTGAAGGGATGGGTATCCCACCTAATGCGGCATCTTTAGCCACCCCTCCCAGACAGCAGAGTCGAACACAGCACATCTGGACTATTTTATTTCCTGCTGGTTCCACTGATCTTCCTTCCTGATGAAGTCCCTTTACCTTTGGGGTGGAGCAGAACCCGGCACAGGAGACTGGACCAGCTCTTTCAGTGGGGTTGGCTGTCCCCGGGTCCCTGCACGCCTCCAGCCAGCGGTTTGGGCTGTGCAGCAGTGACACCCTGGGATGAGGAGGAGATGGACAGTCCACCAGAACGTGGTGCACGAAGGGGAGGTGGGTACCCATCATGTTATCTCCTCAGCAGCAGACTGTGGTGATGCTGATGCTCTGCAGCATCATCTCCCAAACCTCTGCACCCAGGTTTCCTTCCCTGGTTGTTGGTTTCCGGGTGGGCTAAACCAGAAGGGCTGAGATCAGGCTCTGGCCTCCCTCCCAAACTCCTATGCCGTTTCCATCCTGACACTTAACTTGCGCAAAGTAAAAGCGGGTTTCAGCTCGGGCACCGTGATTAGGCACCATCACATCTCCTTGCTCATGAAGGCAGGAGGTTTCCGAGGCAGCAGCCCCTTTTCCTGTTCACCCAACGGAAAGGCAGCGAGCCCGCTCGCTGCCCTGCACCTGCGAGGGAAAGGCCACTCGGCCCAAGAGACCAGGCTCCACCTTCATCACTGTCCTCGTCACCTTGAGAACTTTGGATAGAACCACCCCACTGGTGTTCCTCCCCTGAGGGGACTCACCAGCCTCCGGGACAGCACCCACCACCGCGGCAGGAGCCGGGTGAAGGCAGGCACTGCCCTGTGGAATTGCATAGAGTAGGCAGGATGCTGCCTGCACGCTGCCGGGATGCCATGGTCCTGCCTGAAAATGCTGCTGCCTGCAACACTGGGTCTGGGAAAAGAAATCAGGGTCTATTGCTACAAAGGCCTCTGAAAGTAACACTGTTGGCTGCTCTCCTCAGGCGTTTCAGAGAAAGCATTTCGGACTCCTATGCCTTGCACCTGCTTCCATGGCCGTGGGTACCCATGGCTGGCAGGAACAGAAAACACGCAACACATTCACCGGCCCTGCCTCCCCCCTGACACGTGACGAGGCTTTGAGGAACAAAGAATGAAAGCGCTTCCCAATTTGTCCATAGGAAAGATGCAAACCCAACTTGCTGGTGCCTCCTTGGCCCCGGCGGCCACCGGTCCATCTCCTCGCGGGGTGCTCATACCAAAGCACACGTTGACAGGCGATGGCTGCTGTGATGTCACCCCGACACAGCCCTGCTGAAGGTGGGGGTCCCGAAAACGGGGTGAGGGTGCTGCTCCAGCACCCACTTGCTCTCCCTCGCCTTTCCCTATTCCCTCTAAAACGTCACCGATTTCGGCAGCTTTTCTAGGGGAGGAGGGCCTGAAAGGAAACTATTCTCGGAGCGGGATTTGGCAGCCTGAGGTGGTAATTTTGGTTTGGGGCTCAGGGCAGGTCGCGGGGCTTTCAGTGTATTTAATGGTTTCTGGAGGCTTTTTTGGGCATCTACCTCCTCCGGGTCCAGCACAGGAGGTGGTGGCATGGAGATGGCAGGCAGCGGCCGTCCGGTCTCCAGCAGAGGCAATGCCACCTGCTTTCTGTTCAAGAAGTCCTGCTCCGTCGCGTGGGCGAGGTGGAGGGGAGTGGTGGTCTTGATAACGGTGTAGGGGCTGTTCCCCTCC